AAAGGTGTTTTCTGCCCAGTTCTAAAATACCACAAAAAAATTGAAATCTTTTTTACTTCATACAAGTAAATGTTCAACATTTCAGAAAAAAAAAGAAAGCTGTGCAATTCAAGAATCAGTATTACCATATTGACAGAGGAGTTGAAATAGGACCTAAAATACATCCTTGATAAATCAACAAAAATAATAAATAACTTACTTATTCTGCCCAATTCAGAAGAGAATGCTAAAATTTCAAGTTGAGATCTTCAAAAGAGCTTGAAATCCTTGCTGCAACCCCCCACTGGGATAGCCCTTACTAGAAAAATGTACTTAGTGTAATATTTCTAAATGTACATTCCCAATCACTAAGAATAAAAATTTGAGTAAGTGTGAAAAATCCTGAGACAGATACAAATACATATAAATGGTTTCAGTAAACTGAAAATTGGAAATCAAAAGATGCAAGCTTAATTTGACAATTTTGACATGATTTATGAGTCATGAAGTTCAATATGAAGAAATAATTAAGAGGAGCTGGGAAGGTGGCTTAGTGGTAGAGTGCTTGCCTTGCATGCATGAGGCCCTGGGTTTGATTCCTCAGCACCACATAAACAGAAAAAGCCGGAAGTGGTGCTATGGCTCAAGTGGTAGAGTGCTAGCCTTGAGCTGAAGAGCTGAGGGACAGCGCCAGGCCCAGAGTTCAAGCCCCACAATCAACCAAAAAAAAAAAAAAAAAAGAAATAATTAAGAATAAGCATAAAGGTAGAAAGATTTTTAAGGTAAAGTTATGTTCATCCTTAGTACTGTTACTAATATCATTACACTATTTATCATAATCATCATTATTATAAAAATCACAAGGGATATTAGAAAATATCTCAAATGGAATAAAAATATATATTCAAAGAGACATTATATAAAGATCCATGCACAGCCAATATGTACAAGAAGTATCTAATACTAGTCATTGAAGAAATCCAATGAACCCCAAGATAAGGACTCAAATGTTTTTTCTTTCTTGCTATTGTTTCTAACATATTTATAAGATATTTCTTTGTTGCTTTGTATGTCCCTCCCCCATGGTATAACCCCTGTTTTCACTGTATTTGATGTTGGTATAATCTGTAGAGGGAAAGGGAAAAAACAAATTGTTTAAATAGGGATGCAGGTGAACCCATTGCAACAATGAGATGTACAAGATGTTATGTGGAAAACGAACTTTACAACTTTGGTGGGGGAGGGGGAGGGGAAGGAGATGGGAAGGGATGGGAAGGGGAAACAAAGGAGAAGGCAACAATGCTTGATAAGAAATGTACTCATGGGCTGGGAAGGTGGCTCAATGGTAGAGTGCTTGCCTTGCATGCATGAGGCCCTGGGTTCGATTCCTCAGCACCATATAAGAAAAAAGAAAAAAGCCAGAAGTGGCGCTGTGGCTCAAGTGGTAGAGCGCTAACCTTGAGCTGAAGAGCTGAGGGACAGCGCCCAGGCCCAGAGTTCAGGCCCCATGACCGGATCCAAACAAACAAATAAAGAAATGTACTCATTATTTTGCCCATGTAATTATAACCCCTCTGTACAATATTTTCACAATAAAAAAAGACAAAGAAAATAAGATAGTATTAAAAACCAATAGAATAGTTACCATGAAAAAGGTTGACAACAAATGGCAACAAGGATATTAAGCAAACAAAATTCTCATATACTATTAGTGGGAATGCAATAATGGTAAAAGTATTTGCGTAAGTTTTCTTAGAAGTGATAAACTGACTTTATGTGACCCGTAATTTTACTTTTAGAACACATTCATCATCCCATAAAAATGTACATGTATTGTTTTCAAGGTTCATTTCTTTTATATTTTCATGGACAAATAACATTTTATTTATCCACTCAACAACTGATGGATATTGCTTGCAGTTTAAGTTTCTGTGAATAATGCTTCTATAAATACATATGTACAAGACAGGTGCTAGTGGCTCATACTTGTAACTCTAGCTACTCGGGAGGCTATAATCTGAGGATGTAGGTTTGAAGCCAACCTGGGCAGTAAAGTCTGCGTGACTCTTCTAATTAAACTACCAAAAGAGCCAGAAGTGGAGCTGGGAGCTGTGGCTCAAGTGGTAAAGCAAAAATGTACCTAGAGCAAGAAAGTTCAGGGACAGTGTCAAACCCCCAAGATCAAGCCCAAGAAGCACCATAAAAAATTTATAAAAATAAACACATGGGGTGGGAAGTTGGCTCAGTGGTAGAATGCTTGCCTTGCATGCATGACCCTGGGTTCAATTCCTCAGTACCACATAAGCAGAAAAAGCCGGAAGCGGTGCTGTGGCTCACATGGTAAAGGGTTAATCTTGAGCTGAAGAGCTGAGGGACAGCGCCCAGGCCCAGAGTTCAAGCCCAGGACTGGCAAAAATAAATAATAAGTACATAATGTACAAATTTTGTGTGGACATAGAAATGGAACTACTGAGTCTAATGGAAATTATGTTCAATTTTAAAGAACTGCTAAACTGTTTAAGTGGCTGTAACATTTTACATTTCTACTAGCAGGGTATTAGGGTTTGATTTCCTCTTTATCAACCACCAATGTCTGCTATTAACTGCCTTTTTTAGTGTCACTACTCTAGTGATATATTTTGTATTTTTGTTACTGGGGATTGAACCCATGGCCTTGTATAATTTAAACACGTGTTCTATCACTGATCTATAGCTCTAGCTCAACTCTAGTGGTTTTGAAATACTGTGCCATGATAGTTTTGATTTGCATTTTCTTGGTGATTAATGAAGTTCATTGTCTTGTCAGTGTTTATTGTTCATTTGCATACCTTTTTTTGGAAAATCTTGCAATCATATTTTCATTAGGCTATCTTATTTTCTTAACAAACATTCTTTATATATTCTAGATATAAGTCCCTGGTCAGACACACAGCTGGCAAATAGTTTCTGTGCTGTATTTTCAACTCTTGATAGTGTCCTTTGAAACACAAAAATGTTAATTTTGACTAAGTTCAATTCATCAGCTTTTATTTTTGGTAGTGTATGATTTGATGTTATATCTAGCCTATGATCATTGCCTAATACAAGGTCACCAAAACAATGTTTTCAGTGAAGAATTATGTCTGCCTCTTACATTTAACAAATGGTTCATTTTGTCAATTTTTTGCATATATCATGAAGCAAGTGTCCAATTTCATCTTTTTAACATATGGATACCTAGTTGTCCCAGTATCTCTTGCTGAAAACAGCATTCTTTTAATCATAGAACAATCTTGGCACTTTTTTTGAAAGCCAATTGATCACATGTATACACCAAATACGTATAGTTGGCCCACTATATCCATGAGTTCTGTATCTGCTGATTTGCCAACCACAGATTGAGAATATTGGGGGTGGGGGGAACTGTACCTATAGTAAATTTGCAGTCATTTCTTTCTTGCCATTATTTCTTAAATACTGCAGTATAGCAAATATTTATATAAAATTTATATTGCATTAGGTATCACACATATTCTAGAAATAATTTAAAGTATACTGGAGGATATGTTTTAAACACTATGCCATTTTACATGACAAACTCGAGAGTCCATTGCAGAACTTGGTATCCACTTCCCACAGAGCATCCTGGAGCCAATACTCTCAAGAATACCAAAGTATGAATGGATTTTTCTGGATTTTCAATTCTAGTTCAATTATCTATGTTTATTCTTACACCAGTCCCATATTTTCTTGATTACTGTTGCTTTATGGGATTTTTATGCACTTTCCTTACTGTGTATTTTTTACTGGTTATATTCTGGTAAGTAACCTAATTTTTATATACAATATGTGTTATATACTATATATGTTATATACAATATATGTCATATACAATATAACTCTGGAACTCTTTCTAGCATACATGTTCATACACATTCAAATAAATATCCTCTTAAAGACAACTTTGTATAGGCTGGTCAAAATGGCTGTGAATTTTTAATTTTGATAGACTTTAGTAACTTCTCTTTCAAGGTTACCAATTTACACTCCCTTCACAAATGTAGAAGAAAACCTATTTGTCCTATATTTTCTGCAATATTATTTGCAATATTTTCTGTAAAATCTCATCATTAAAATCCTTAATATAATTTTTGTAATTTTAGACAATCCCTTGTTTCAATAAACAGATAAGAGTATGATAATTGTGAAGAAAGACTGATATTATACTGTGTATTTCAATTTTACCTTCTATTGCTTCTATACTCCAGTCTCAAACTGGCCTATAAATGACACTCATGAAAATAGTACCTATGAGGGGACCAGTACCTAATAAATATATATATATTACATACACACAACATATATATATAATATTTACAAGTTGTTTAATGTAATTTTTCCAATTAGGTGGTGTGAAAAAATGACTAAGTCTATATAATAGTAAAAATAAGTAAATATTATTTACATTGTTATGTAAAAATATAAAAAATAGATGTTACTTGAAGAATTTTCTATATCAAATATAAAATATGGAACTGGTAGTCAACCTTTCATATAGACTAAACAACTCCCTTTATTACATGACTTTGCACATCAATAAGTCACTAGGTATATGCAAAAAAAAGAATTGCTAATGAAATCTTTGCACAGATACCTCTGCTTTGAGGAATAAAACCAAAACAGTTTAAAGTGGGAAAAAATGTTAAATGTTGTAATTTAGGAAAAATGTACATGCTGAAAAACTGGTTACAATGGTGTAGTCATCAAACCAACTATATGTAATGATTAAAAGTCATAATGTCTGTATAGATATATAAAGTCTGTAGTCATATAAAAATATTGTTTCTGTTTTAAAAGATATAGAATTGTATGTATATGATTATGCATGCATATAATCATAAATACTTTGAAGGCATATAAAAATATAGTAACAAATATGGGTGATTTTTCTCTAATTTGATACTTTTAAAAGTCTTTTAGAATTTAATCCATAACCAGGTAATATATTCATACATGTCACTTTATAGTAAAAATATACTTACTGTGATGATGCCAATTAGTTGAGTATAAAAGAGTCCAGATATTCCAACTAACATAGTAATGCCCATAAAGGCAGCTAGTCTCATTATGGCCAATTCATGTCTAACAACAAAGAGGTCCTACAAAGAAAAAGAAAATCTTAAAAACAATTTGAAAAGCTTCTTATTGTTGCAATAATAATCTAAATTTAGTCATGCTATAACTTACTGTTTGTTTGTTTTTTTTTGGTCCGTCATGGGGCCTGAACTCTGGGCCTGGGCGCTGTCCCTCAGCTCTTAGCTCAAGGCTAACGTTCTACCACTTGGCCACAGCACCACTTCCGGTTCTCTAAGTGGTTTTCATTGGAGATAGAGTCTCATGGACTTTCCTACAGGAGCTGGTTTTGAACCACGATCCTCAGAACTCAGTCTCCTGAGTAGCTAAGATTATAGGCGTGAGCCACCAGCGCCTGGCTCTCTAATTATTTTAAAACAAAAATTCATAGCTATCTCTGACCCTCTTGATTTTGTTCTAGTTATTCAAAATATATCTGAAAATTTCAAAAATAATTTAGTAAGTTGAAAACGTTAAGACTTCACTGGTCTATGTAAAAAAAAAAAACACCCTCAACTCCAAGGTTACGTTACCCTTTTTTTAAACTAATTTAAATAAATCACAGATAGCAACCGATATTTAATCACAAAAGAAATTTCACTATTATAAAATTCAAATTTTGGAATGTACAAGCTTGATTCCTATTATTAAATTTCAAGTAATCCAAATACACTGAAATAATTTCAGGGGAATACACATAGTACGATCTTAAGAATAGTCCTCTTTAAGCCTCCCTCAATAATTCTTATACCTAATTAAATATTACACCAAATACCACAAAGAACTATGATACTTAGAATGTAAAGATGTAAACATATCGCCTATGTCCTCAGAATGAGTTTTATTTACAAAGAAAACTCAATTTTGTGAAATTCCAGATGATACAATATGCATATGGGCAAGGAGAGGTGGAAATAGTGGAGAAAGCTGATTTTCCGGTTCAGGACATGAAAATGAAGGCCAACTATGTACTGTGGGGGCACGGAAAAAATAAATTAAAAAAAATTAAAAAAAAGAGGCATTTCATTTACCAGCAGTGTTAACCAAATAGAAGAGAGAATCATCTAATTCCATTTTCTCCTGGAAAAAACACCCACAGTACCTAAGGTAAGAAATAGATTGGAAGAACCCCCAAAATACAACCACCAAGATGCTTTCTTTTAAAATGACTGACGGATTAGAGGGGTCTCAGTAGCAAAGTAGAGAGGCCACTGAAAATAATATACTTGCTTAAAACAAAGAACTGATGCTTTTCTATGTATTACATTGATACACCACTAGATTCAAAACAACTATCTGGATCCACAACCAAAATCACTTTTTTAAAAAAAGTTAAATTCAGCAAAACATTTAAGTGCTACAATGTAGTCAGATATTAGGCAATTATTTCAAAACTTCAACAGAAGGTCTTTTTTTCTCCTATTTGTGTTAAGAAATGTGTCTGTATACAAATAAATGCATAAATTTCATGCTCAGTATTAAAAGGCAATTCTATCCTCATCTGAAACCACAATCGGCTTCCTGTGCATTCCTTCCCCTCACTATCTGTCCCTCACCTCTACCCTAAAGATTACTGATCCTTTCTTTACGCACTCTGAATACTACTGGGTCAATCACATATACAAAATATTTTCTCCCACTCTGAAGTTAACTAACTGTTCATTCTTTTTAAGGTGCCTGTTAAGATATATAAGTTCTCAATTAATATAATCAAATTTATCTTTTCTTTTGCTGCTTTTTCTATATCTAGGAAACTTTTCTTGACCCTAAAATAACAATATTCTCTTATATTATCTTCCAAAGCCTTCAAAAGCTTTATTACAAGTTTTGCCTTTCACCTTCAGGTCGTTAATACACCCAAATAATGTTTTGTATCATCAGTGTATAGTAAAAGGCAAGGATTTGAATTTATTTTTACTAGACAAATAATTTTAATCTACAAGTTTACTCAATTCTAATAAAGTTTACTGAAAAGCTGTGTCATCAAGTGTACATATGCATGCAGATTCCTGGATCTGATATGGCTTCTTATTCTGCTCCCGATTTGTTACTGTTCCAGTGAAAAGTGTCTGGGATTTGAAGAAAGTCTTGATCCCTAGTATGTCAAATGCTAGAGCTTGAACTCAGAAGCATACGTGCTTTTCCTTACTTAGCTCTTTCACTCAAGGATGGTACTCTACCACTTAGGCCACACCTCCATTTCTGCTTTTTGTTGGTTAATTGAAGATAAGTCTCATAGACTTTCCTGCCTGGGCTGGCTTTGAGCAGTGATCCCAGATCTCAGCCTCCTCTGTAGCTAGGATTATAGGCCTGAGCTAGCAGGGCCTAGTATTATATAACCAATTTTTTAACTGGATTTTTAAATTATAACATATTCAGACATATATTCACATATAATATTCTTTCCAATTAGGTTTAAGTTTCACCAGAAAGTCATGTATTTATCTTATGTAAAAACAAGTGAGTTTAAAAAATATTTTAAGGTTACAAGTTTAAAAGTTTCTTAAAAGTCCCAAAGAATCTACAGATTCATTATTTATATTATCTGAAAGTAATGCAGTTTTGTTTCTTTCAGCAGTTATAACTTCTTTTTCTTTCTCTTGCTTTAGTAAATGGCTAGAAATTCTAGTACTATGTTGATCACAACAGTAGCAGTAGTTACAAATGCCTAGTCCTCAAACTCAGGAAAAGAACTCAACACTGCATTCCAGCATGTATACGTGGTTAAGTATCTCATTTTTTTTCTGGGAACCTTTCTATCATTTAGCTAATTAAGAAAGTTAACATCCAGTTGTAGTTTGCTAAGAGTTTGTAACACGTATCGCACTGAATTTTATCTTTACTTTCATTCACTGAGATATTCATTTGAATGTTTCTGTCAACTCTGTTAAAGTGATAAGCTATATTGACTTCCAAATGCAAAAATTGCTTTTTATTTTTAGAAATAAAGTCAACTTGTTCAGTCTGATTCAGATTGCCAATTTTTAAGGAATTGTTTATCTTTGTTCATCAGACTAGTCTATAATTTTCTTTACTTTTCCTGGTAGGTCTCATATCCAGGATAGGCTATATTCAGGAGTTTATATGGCTCATATTATTATTTCCTTTCATATCTGATGGAGCTAGAACTTACTAGTTAGTATGTAAATTTGCCCTCAAGAAAAATATTACCTACTTACTTATGACTACAGGATGCTTCCAGTTTATTTTTGAAGCAAATATTTGTAGATCACAGAATTCAATCATGTAAAGATGTCAACTATTCACACTGATCTACAAAACTAATATAATCCTAAAACAAAAATAAATCCCTATGATAGTACAGAGCATATTGTGTTGGCAAGATTTTTTTGTTATAATTTTTAGAAATTGCTTTACTGTTTCTAAAACACAAAGGATAATATAACACTCTTCTATGAATAAACTAGGGAAGAAGGTCTGCTCTATTGCATGCATTTTCAACAGGGCCAGGGTCGACCCCAAGTAGGAGAAAAAAATTAGCTGAAGGTTCTACACAAATAAATCTTACCTGACAGAATCTGTCTCTGTTAAATTCACTGGGGAGGGAGAAGGGGAAAATGTCTGAAAAGAATACTTCAGAAGACAATGATAATAATTTTAAAAAGACTGAAAATACTGCTTTACTAGATAACAAGATTTATTATAAAACTATAATAAGGTTACAGTTATAATGACAGTGTAGTATAATCATGAGGAAAGAGGAATAGACCATGGGACTAGAAAAGAGTCAGAACCAGACACACACATATGTGGATGCTGATTTATGAGAAAGTAGGCACTGCACAGTGGAGGAGGAAAGAATTATCTTTTTAATGCATGATGTTAAGTCAACTGGATGTTCATCCATGAAACAATGAAACTCTGATTCCTATCTTACCAGAATCACAAAAAATCAATTCCAACCAGAAATGTAAAAGTCAGCAAATTATAGTACCTGCATGACAACGTAAAAGTATTTTAGTTTAGAAAAACTTTTTAAATTGAGCTCAAAATTACTGCCCCCACTTAAATAAAGACTATTAAGTTAGGGTTCATTAAAATTTAAATTTGAAAAAAAAAAACCTGAGAAATGGAGCTGGGGCTCAAGTGGTAGAGTAGTCACCTTGGGCAAAAAGGTTAGCTATCCTGAGTTTAAGCCCCAGTACCAGTAGCAGTATGTGCATGTACACACATACACGTACACATACACGTACACACACACACATGCGCATGCATGCGCGCGCACGCGCGCACACACACACACACACACACACACACGTCCTACAGAAAACACTTATAACACATAAAGAAGTTCTAATCTAAAACATCATGGAATTATAAGAAAAAAAGTAGGCAATGTTACAATGGAACTTCCCCTTATCCAACTAATGTATGCTAAAAAAAAGTAGGCAAAGAGGTTGGAGGCCTGGCTCAGGTATAGAGCACCAGTCGAGGAACAAATAGCATCACATAGAGTTCAAGTTCCAGTCTCACACAAAAGAAAAAAAAGTAAGTAAAATACTTAGGTGCACCTCATCAAACATCTCATATGATTCATAAAAAAAAAGAGCTCACTTCCATTAGTCTTGTAAGAAATGAGAATTAAAAGATTATGAAGGTCTGTTCACATGTATCAAATACCTAATATAAGGAATTCTTAAGTACTTATATGTAATATAAGGAATTCTTAAGTACTTATATGTAAGTTGAATTTCAACTTATATAAGTCTATTGGTAGTAACACTGAACATTAATTAACCCTTGTAACTAATCACAAGCATGAAACACACACACACACACACACACACACACACACACACACAAACAGCAAGAGGCTTAGCTGAATAAGGTGGACTGAGGTTGATGACCAGACTGGGACATGGCCCCTTCTCAACCACTAGCTGAGCTTGGTGGTATGAGTGTATCAACTCAGCTATGGAGAAGGCTGCAATCAGAAGAACCAGGAATTCAGGTCAGCATGCACAAAAAGAAAAAAAGAAAAAAAAGACTGCAAGACTCCATCTTG